CTCTTATTATAAGGGAAATACAAATCAAAACCACAATGAGATACCACTTAACCCCAGTCACAATGGCTAAAATCAAGAAAATAAGTAATGATAAATGCTAATGAGACTGGTGAAAAAGAAGCTCTCCTACACTGTTGGTGGGAATGTAAATTAGCATAGCCACTTTGGAGAATGATATGGTGAGTCCTTAAAAATCTACACATAGAACTACCATATGATCCAGTAAGTCCACTTTTAAGTATTTACTCAAAGAATAGAAAAATCCACAGCTGAAAAGTATTTGCCCATCCATGTTTATTGCAATGTTATTTATAATTGCTAGGGCATGGAATCAACCCAAATGTCTAGAAATAGATGATTGGATTGAAAAAATGTGTCACAGGTACTCTATAGAATACTACTCAGTCATAAAAAAATATGAAACCCTGACATTTGATACAAAGTGGACGAATGTGGAAGACTTAATGCTAAATGAAGCAAATCAGACTATGAAAGACAGACTTTGTATGTCCCCACTCAATATATACCGATTATCTGCACTCTGTGGCAGAAACTAAAAGTTTGGAAGGTATAGTAGCAGGGAGGGCAACGGTAGATACTAGAGATAGTAAGGATAGGGGTAATACCGGAGTGGATAATGAAGGGAAAGAGGGAAGGAAGGGAACAGGGGAAGAAAAAGAAAAAAAGTATGTTTAATTGACAAAAAAATGAAAAGCTTTTTGCTGCTGCCGATGTGTATTATAATGTCTTTGTCTTGACTGATATGCGAGATAATTGTGCTGGAAAAAGAAATGTTATGTACTGTAAAGATAAATGTGACTAAATGTATAAAAAATAAAGTCTGGCAAAACATTTACTTATTTATTAGCATTAATATTCTGAGAATTCTTTCTCAATCTTCAGGGAATTAACGAAATCAACAATAGTGTTTATAACCCTTTGCACTTAATTTATACATTAAGATTTAGAAAGTACTGGGACCAGCAGTTAGCTAATGGCTATGTGGCTGGACTCCCACGTGGTCGACCACGGTTTGCGTCCCAGATCTGGTGGCTTAAACTCACGCTGGGCACGTGTGCGTGTGTGCCCAAGATCCTGAGAGGAGAATGGAGGAGAAGAAATTGCAGGGTGGCCATCCCCCTGGGGGGGGGTGATTTCTCGCTTTCTGTCTCTCTGTCTCTCTCTGTCTGTCTGGCGAGCACACATGCCCCATAGCAAAAACCTCTCCAAAAATAAAAAAAAAAAGAAAAAAAAAAGAAAAAAAAAAAAGAAAAAAAAAGATTTAGAAAGTACTAGGAACTCAAGCAGCTTACCTCCTGCCCTCCCCCCCAAATAATGATTAATCCAATTAAAAGATGGGCAAACAAGCTGAACAGACATCTTTTAAAATTTTTTTGGAAAGGTTTTTATTATAGGATGTGTGTGCTTGCCAGAAAGACAGAGAGAGAAAGAAAGACGGTGAGAAATCACCCTCCAGGGGGAATGGCCATGCTGCAATCCCTTCTCCATTCTCCTCTCGGGATATTGGGCACACACACACACACACACACACACACACACGCCTGGCATGAGTTTAAGCCACTGGGTCCAGGACTTGAACCACGGTCGACTACACGGGAATCCAGCAACACAGCCATTACACCAACTGCTGGTCCCTGAACAGACATCATTCTAAGGAAGACATATGGACAGCCAAAAGGCATATGAAAAAAATGCTCAACATCCCTTAGCATATGGGAGATGCAAATCGAAACCACAATGAGATACTATCTAACCCCAGTCAGAATGGCTAAGATTAAAAAAATAAAATAAAATGATAAGTCTGGCAAAGCTGAAGTGAAAGGGAACTCTCCTACACTGTTGGTAGGAATGTAAATTAGTACAGCCACTGTGGAGGTTCCTCAAAGAACTACCATATGATCCAGCAATTCCACTCCTGGGTATCTTCCAATGGATATGAAAATGTTCAGTCGGAAAAGTGCTTGCACCTCCATGTTTATTGCGGCATTATTCATGGTTGCTAAGACATGGAACCAACCCAAATGTACACAAACAGATGAGTGGATTGAAAAAGTGTGGCACATATACACTATGGAATACTACTCAGTCATAAAAAACAACAAGACCCTGGAATTTGATAGAAAGTGGACAAATATACAAGATTTACTGCTGAATGAAACAAGCAGACTATGAAAGAGAGACAATGTGCGTCCCCACTTATTATATTCTGAATATCTACACTCTGTGGTGGAAACTGAAAGACTGGAGGATATAGACACATGGAGAACATTGTGGATACTGAGACAGTGTGGGAGGCGGGTGGGAGGTGGGAAAGGCTAGGAGGAAGGTAATTAAGGAGGAAAATAGACGAGACATTTAAAATAGACAGAAATGGAGGATTGTCTGTTGATGTGTATGCTAATATCTTTAACTGGACTGCTATATAGTGTATTCATGCTGGGAAAATCCATTTTACAAGTTGTGGTGATGAACAGTGACTAAATGTATAAAATAAAAATAAATGAGAGAGCACTATTTAGAAAATTTTTGTTTTGTATGTAGTTTTATTTTATTTTTTATTTCAATTTTTTATACATTCCATCACATGCTACTTAGATTGCAAATTGAATATTCCACATGTGTATATTCCTCATCAGTCCAGTTAACAATACTATAAAGTTATCTTCAATAGATAATAACCCATTTCTGTGTTCCATAAATGTCTTGCCTCTATTTTTCTCCTTAATATCCTTCCTCAGACTCTACTCCTTCACTCACTCTCTTCCCACACTGTATCTGGTATTCACAACCATTTACTATGTTTCTATGTCCTTTAGTCATTCAGTTTTGGCCATAGAGTGTGGACACATAGAATCTTTTTTTTAATTTCTCAAGTATAAGGATATCCTAGTGAGATAGGAGAGGGGGGATTAAAAATAAAATAGGCCCAGCCTCTGTGGATCTTGGACTGTTGACCTTGGTTTTGTTATAGTCTAATCAGCGAGAAATAGGAGGACATCCAGACTTAGCCAAATTATAGGAGTTCTTTATTAATAGGCTGGCGGACTGTGGGATGACTAGTCTCTCAAAAATCCCACAGTCCAGAGTGATAGAGGGGTGCTTATAAAGGCAAAGATACAGTCAATTGTGGGTTGACGTGGTGATTACAGTAGAAAATGAGGAGGGGGTGGAGAGGAAAGGGAGTGGGGTTCCCATGCGAAAACAGTTACAGAAGCCAATCAAGCAGGTTAATAATTGCTAAGGGCACTCTCTAGACCTTTGTTTAATGGTCCCCATGTTTTGGCAGGGGTCTAGTGATTGTTAGTTACATTGCCGAGGAACGTCTAAACAAAAAGGTTTCGGGCTAGTTAGCAAATACAGTATGACTATTAATCACTTGACTTACTCTGGGCAAAAGGGGGAAGCAAGTATAATATAAAGTTCAAAGATGGAGGTGCTTCTGCTTCAGTCAGGCTGACGTGTGTACCCAAGATCCCGGCAGGGTGGAGGACTGGAGGACCGGCTGCAGAATGGCTGAGCCATGTGGGGGTACTTCTTTCTCTCTCTCTCATGTATGCACCCACACTCAATCATTAATAAAAACAATAAATGAATGAATAAGTAGAATGGCATAGCATCTGGAATGAGTAGAATCATGTCTCCCAGAAAAGATATACTAGAGCCCTAATCTCTAGTACTGTATCTGAGAATGTAGCTTTGGAAATAATCTCTCAGTAGATACCATCAAGTTAAGATGAGATCATATCTTCACCGTGGGGGGCCTCCTCTAATCTGCCCTCCATGCAGCCCCTACATCAAGTAAACCATCAGCACCAACCAGGTCACATCCTGTATCTAGCCACTGCCCCTCTGGAGAGGCCTGCCTGGCCTCTTGCCTGCTCTAGTACTCAGTGCCAGAGACAGTGCTGTAGGGGGCTCAGAATCAGGTTGTTGAATTGATAAATGATTTTTATTTATTTATTTTTAAAAAGATTTTTGTCATAGGGTGCCTGGGCTGGCTAGAGAGACACAGAGACTGAGAAAAGGAAAATGAGAGATCATCCCCCAGTGGGGATGGCCATGCTGTAATCCCTTCCTCTCCATTCTTGTGGGATTTTGGGCACACATACACATATATCCAGTGTGTCTTTCAAGCCACTGAGCCTGGGACTTGAACCATGTGTTGGCCATGTGAGATTTAGTGTCTTGACCACCATACTACCTGCTGGCACACAATAAATGATTTTTATTTTGGTTTGGCCTCTTTCTCCCCTTTAATCAACCTCCAATCTTTTTTTAGTTTACAAAACCTTTTTCTCTTTTTAAAGAATTACTTATTTAATTTTATTATTTATTTATTTATTTTTAATTCAGAGAGAGACAAAGAGAAAGAGAGGAAAAATGAGAAAGCAAGTCACCAGGTCTGGGACTTGAACCACAAACCATGTGGGAGTCCAGGATCCCAACCACTATGCCACCTGCTGGCCCCTACTTACAAAACTTTTATTTACAAAAACACAGCCTTTCTTCACTTCAGTAGGTGGCGTGTTGCATTTTGCAGTTCGTTCAGTGCTCTGATGTGCCATGATGCCTCTACTGTCAATTGCTCATGAGCCTGAAGCAGCCTCACGTTTGGCAAGCAGGCAGGAGACAAAATAAAAGTCAAAATAGGAACATGGCAGACCAAACTCAGGGTGCATCTGCAAACATATTTCTACATCTGAAGGTTGCAACAGCAGCCTAAGTGATACGGTGTCCAGGTGAAATGAAACCATCTGGAACTGGTCTACCACAGTTTCTAAAGCTGAATTGTTGCAGTAAGTTATTCTGTATATATGTGTATGTAATATATGCAAAGTTTTGTTTACTTCAAATGGAATTGGCAATCTATGCTTATACTTTTAAAATCTAAGCAGGGCAGAAATCCAGACGAAAAAGATATTTTCTCTACGTTATGTTGAGTCCAACAGCTTCTTTTCATGAACTACTTGTTAAACGCCTCAAAATACACACACTTCGCAGATATGCACATCACTGTAGCCCAGAGGCCATGCCAGTCTTCTCTGTATGGTTCCAATGTTGTCTATGTGCTGCTGAAGTGAGCACAATAAAGAAATGCTAAACTCTAATTTAAATATTCAGAGAAACGGTCTGGCATTGATACCTCACCCCCCCCCATCCTACTGTCACCCTCACAGCTCAGGATAAGTAGGCTTGCTTTCTCACTTTCCCTCTCTCTCGTTTGCTCTCTCTCACTCTGTCCTTCTCTGGTCAAATAAAAATTAACAAATAAATAAAGTTAAATAAAATAATTCTACAAAAAAGAAAAGAGTAGTTTCAAAAGGACTGCCGATACTAACCGCCTAGCAGTGTGAATCACTCTACTTTTTGGGAAATCAGTTTTCTCATCTGATCATAAATGCAGTTCAGCTAAGTTTCTTTTTAATTCTAAGTTTTGATTTTTAGATATCTTCTATAAAAACTAATATTCTTATTGATTAATTTTTAGTATCAGGACTGTGACACTGCTATCTCTCCTGAGGGGTGATTTCTCACTTTCCTTCTCACTGTCTGTCTGTCTTTCTCTGCAGGAAGCGCATGTGGTCTATAATAAAAACCTTTTTTAAAAAATGATATTTATAGGTGTTGGTTTCATCACTAAGCCCCATCTGTGTGTAAGGGTGATTACCTGACCTTTGTCTTCCCCTTAGATTTTTTCCATTATGCTCAGAATGACTTCTTTTTGATAGAGATTTTTGCCATCGGGTGCATGTACTTCCAGAGAAACAGAGAGACAGAGAGACAGGAAGTGAGAAATCATCGCCTGAGGGGATGGCCATGCCGCAATCCCTTCTCCTCCATTCTTCTCTCTGGATCTTGGGTACTCACATGTGCCCGGCATGAGTTTTAAGCAACTGGGTCTGGGATTTGAACCACAGTCAACCATGTGGAAGTCCAGTGACATGAACATTATGCCATCTGCTGGTCCCCAGAATGACTATTACCACCACTCTGCGAATCTGGTTATCCTGTGAACCAGGCTGATGTAGCCCAGAACGAAGGAATGGCTATTTAATTGGTCACAGTTCTTCAGTAGTCAGACCTTGAGTTTAGTAATATTTACACTATCTCTAACTCTTGTGAGACAGTAAGCTAAACAATTTTTTTCTCCCTTGGGACTTGAGGAACCCATGTAGTGAGTTTACCTTAAAATATGCGAGGCAGCAGGACCTGGCGTTTTCGGAAACAGAGACAGACCTAGTTTTAAATCCTCCCTGTGTCCTTCACCAGTGAACGACTGTGAGCAAGACGCTGAGCCACTCTGAAACAGCTTCACCTGCCAAATGGAGACATATCCATTTTTCAGGTTACGCTAGAGATGAAACGAGATTCTACAGGTGAAGTCCCTAGTCCAATGTTATACAAGTAATTTTGGGGAATCCTGGGGGTATGAGGTGGGGATTTACTGTCCTGAATGTTATTTGGAATTGATTTATTAGAATTAGGTAAGCTGGGCTGAGATTCCAGAAGTTTCTGTGTGTTTGTTTTAAACCTCTTTGGCAATGTAGGGAGAGTGAAAGAAGGTGACGGGGCAGATCTAGATGAAGGCTCACTTGCTAAATGGTGGCTGTCACTCATCGTTCACATCGGTACGTCCTGGGGGTGGGAGGTAAGCACTAGAGTAATCCAGGACAGTAGTGTGGACTCTCTCCACACCTTTCACACTTTCACCAGTTTCAATAATTGTATAAATGGGTAATGTAGCGCTTCTAAGACATTTCTTTTCCTAGGTGCCACACAGTGGTGCAGCAGTGACGTCATGCTCTGCTGTGCTGGGCCCACATGAGAAGGTCATGGGTTTGTGTCCCAAGGCTTCCTTGTACACACTGGTTCACATGTGTCTATGACCCAGGCTGACTGGCCTGGGGGTGGATCATGGCAGGAAGACCCTCTTGAGGATGCCTGTCTTTGTCTCTTTCATGAAAGAAATGCTATAGGGCATGTATGCTCACCAGAGAGAGAGAGAGAGAGAGAGAGAGAGAGAGAGAGAGAGAGAGAAAGTGAGAAATCCCTTGGGGCAGGGATGGCCATGCCACAATCCCTTCTCCTCCAGTCTCCTCTTGGGACTTAAGCACACATGCACAGGAGCCCAGTGTGATTTTCAAGCTGCTGGTTCAGGACTCGAACCACATAGTCAGTCATGTGAGATCCAGCATCTTAACCTCCATGTTACCTGGTAGCCCCAATTTTTCTTCTTAAAAATAAAAATGTCATTGAGCTGGCCCCATAGCATAGTGGTTAAATACTATCTATTGGCAGCCAGATCCCACATGGCTGTTTGAGACTCAACTCCTGGCCTAGGTAGCTTGAAAAACATGCTGAGTATGTGCATGAATGTATCCAAAATCCTGATAGGAAGGGGACATGGTGGGAAAAGAATTGTAGAAGGACCACATCCCATAGAAGGGTGCTTTCTCTCTCTCTAGCGAGTGCACACATCTTCTGTCAATAAAATAAAATAAGTAACATTGGTGATTACAGCAAATTATTGAGGCAAAGAATATGAGGTTGAAGAGTGTGGTGTTGACTACGGTCCAAATGCCAGCCCCCACCCATAGCGTCTACGTGTCTTTGGCCCATCATGGTGCTTTTTGGAGCCGCAATGTGTTCACCTGTTAAGAAGAGAATGGTCACAAGCCCCACCTCTTAATTGCACACGAGGAGAACCTAGAACGGTATCCGACATGTAGCACACTGCAGATGTCAGCTCTCTTTTCAATCAAGGTTCTCCCCATCTCTTTTGTAAATCTTTTATGCCTCTGAAGACTATTTTCCCAAGGTGATGTGTTTTACTTGCTGTTAATTCAGATGGAAATTTTAGATGCAGAACAAGGTAGGCATTAGTTTAAATGTACACTTGAAAAATTAGTAACTGGAACTGAGTTTGCAGTAGGCAATGTTTTTGACTTTGGACATAAGGTCTATCGACAGAATTGCTGCTTAATGGACTCATGGCTTGGGAGGGAGTCAGTTTTTGGGGGAGCCGGAGCTGGCCTTTGCAGGGACAGATGTTCCTCTGGACGTGAGGAGTTTCTCTATTGGAAACTGTCTGCTTCGCACTTCACTGCACGTAAATGGCACCATAAGATCGCTACATTTCTCTTTGAAAAAGTCAAGTACTTTTGGTGAAGAATATATATATTTTAAATCTCTCAGAACTCATTTTAGAGCTAAAAATAAAATGTTTTATGGACCAGACAAGGGTGCGGCAGTAAAAGATGATGCTCTGTGAAGCAATCACAAATAGGATGGTTCCTGGTTCAAGCCCGGGGACCTCCCTGAGTCCTCCAGGCTCACGTTTGCCCACGACACAGGGCTGGCTAGAGGCTGGGAGTCAGTAGTGCTCAAGACCCTGCTGGGTGCTGTGCAGTCTCTCTGTTTCTCTCATTCATGTAGGAAATATATATGCATAAAAATGAAAATGTTGTAAGTTAATTTTAACTGAAGATGAAATTTCTGTAAACCACAGAGACCAGAAATGTGTACCATGGGCTCCTCTGCCTTCTCAGTCACTCACCTTTGTTTTCTCATTCCAGCCAGGGATTTCGTTTTCCGAAATGTGTCTAGGAAGTTCTCACTCTAGAGATATGGCTGATAGTCCAAAAACTTGGGAAATACTGGATTACACACTGCCGACATGGCTCATTTAATTAGCAAGTTCATTCATGTTAATATTCCTTTAATTTATTAATTCATCACATCCTTATTGAGTGCCCATTTTGCTCAGCAGTGTCTAGGGGGAGGGGTTCTACAGTGAGTTATACTAGATCCCTGATTTCCAGAGCTAGGGGAGAGTAGTGCGTGGGGTTGAGGTTAGGGGTTGGGCAGATGAGGGCCATTTTTGCTTGTCACTAGCTGAGAAGGAGGTGCTGCTGACATCTTGTGTAGACACGGGAAATGGTGCTAGATATCCCAAAGTGTGCGGGACAGACACCCACACCAAAGAATTACCAGTCCAAGATGTGGACAGCTTCCAGGTTGTGCATCTCTGCTTTCACGAAATGGTCCGAGGTTTTAATTCCATGAGTCCCTCACAATTTACTAGGAAGATGTGACAAATGCACAAACCAATTCTAATATAAGCCAAGAAGTGTGCTACTGAGAAGGTATAAATTGTCTTTATGGCCCTCCCTTAGGCTGTTTTATTTCTTTATAAACTCTTTATTGCCACAGCCACATCATGGCTAAGTGCTCAGGGCCATTTTTACCTGCTGGAAGAAACTCCAGAGCCAATCCCCGACTTGACTTCCTTCTGGCACCTCCTGGTGGCCTCAGGAAAATCACCAGCCTCTTCAGCGATCTCCCCAGTCCTTCCTCGTCCGGCCCTCATCTGCCCAACCCCTAACCTCAACCCCACGCACTACTCTCCCCTCACCCCAAATCCCAAGAGAATGAAGGAGAAGGGACTGTGGCATGACCATCACCCTGGGAATGATTCCTTGCTTTCTGTCTCTCTGTCCCTCTCTGGTACCCTATAGCAAAAAGTCTCACAAAGGAAAAGAAAAGAAAAAAAAAAGAAAAGAAAAGAAAAGAAAAGAGAAAAGAGAAAAGAAAAGAAAAAAAGAAAAGAAAAGAAAAGAAAAGAAAAGAAAAGAAAAGAAAAGAAAAGAAAAGAAAAGAGAAATTTGGATTCCGCATGACCAACAGAGTTCAAATCCTGGACCTGGTGGCTTGAAAAACACTGGTGGACATGTGAGTGTGTGTGCCTCAAATCTTGATGGGATGGAGAAATGGAGAAGGGATTTCTTGTGGCCATGCCCATTTTGGGATGCTCTATCTCTCTGGCAAGTGCACATGCCCTTTGGTGATTAATAAAAAGATGATGCTCAGAGATCTCCTTGTGAACACCTTCCTGATTTTTACAGAAAGAGTGAATTTAATGAGGCCAGCAGGTGCCATGTGGTTGACTGTGGTGTGAGTCCAGGATCTGGCAGCTTGTTTTCTCTTTCTGTTTTGCTTTGGTGAGCACACATGCCCTGTAGCAAATTAAAAAAAAAGTAATGATCAATAAACTGAATAAGTAAATACAATATAATAATTAATTA